GTTTTGTAATGTGGTCTTTTGCCCTTTACTTACACAAATTGTGCACTGTCATCACTTGTGCCCCGCATACAGACACACTCTCTTAACATTTTGTAGTGTTGCGCATTGGTGTGGATTACAGGCTGTGTGTGTCTGTACAGCCTGTTGCTGTGATGATCAGATTTGCCCTCTTATGCAATATAATTCTTCCACACCACACCAATTAAGCACACAGTCTCCTAGTTGTATTAAGCATGGGGAACATTTATTTAAAGGAACAGAAGTCACGTTGTTTGTTATGGTCTCACAAACACTTGAAAAGAAAGGAAAATATGTTTTAAATTGTGCATTCAGGATTGTTCAAATGCATTTTACATTTGGATCCTGAAAGCTTCGTAACAGCACTCTCTCTCTAAACAAGTGTTTATCTCTCTGTGTGTGTTGCCATGCAATGACTCACAACACAAATCGGTTATGCGGGTTATCTGAGAGCTCAAGCACATTAAGGATACTGGCACATAATGGTGAAGATACTTCATACCAATAAGCTTCAGGAGACAGACGGGGGTCGAAATAAGATCAGCTGACAACCCACCTCACCAAAACAGCACATGGACAGACATGCTCTTCAAGCTGGTGATTAGATAGGATGAACAGTGATGCTCCAATCAAATCTGTGTCTCCTAGAATCATGAGATAAAGGCTTATATAGACTTGGGCAAACTAATGTTGATAATTTAGTTTATTATAAAGCTTGAAAGGCATTCATGGACGGATTATGGCTGTATGAGGCCCTGGAGCATCAGCCTCTTTCCAGCAAGCAGCTAAAAAAAGTTGTACACCCTGATAAATACTAAACTGTACATTGCACAACGGCAACTTTATTTGCAATTTCTAATTTAAATTGAGAATTTCTCATAATTGCATCTTTGTTCATCAAAAAAAAAAAAAAACCCTTCAGAACTTTCGCATCTTGTAATTCCAGTTGTACATTTTGCAATTACAGATTACATTTCAAATTAATGTCTACAATATCATATCATAATATCATACAAAATCATCTCGCAATCATTGTAATATCCAAATAATCAGACATAAACTTTAAAGCTGAGTTTCCAAAGCCGACATGGGGGGAAGAGTGTGGTGACATTTGCAGCAGCTGAAAAAACAGACAAAAGAAAGAATGAGAACAAGCATGATTAAAGGATTAGTGAAGGGGTGCAGAAGCATCTCCACCACCAGCTCTCCTCCTCCCTCTCATTCTGTTTGTCTCTCGTCCTTTGGCTCTGTTTGTTTTACTAAAAATATATAACAGTCGTCAGTGTGACAAAAGCGCAAGTGGAGACAAATTATCACGATTATGACTGGAATAAAATGATATATTTTTGATGCACAACATGGGTCTAAATAGACCCGACTGAGTTTTAATTTTCTATATCTTTGCAAGAAATTAATTTCATCATTCAGTATTCCAGGTATTCCTCAATTAACTTGTTTTTGATCATCACAAATCCTTATTTTTATTTTTACTTTCTTACTTTATGAATAAAAATAGTTTTTGTATCACAACCCTTCTAATGCGCAACATGGGTCTAAAAAGACCCGTATTCATTTCCTATGTTATTTCAGTGATGGCTGAGTGTTATCTTTGCTGAATCTTTAAAATATATGTATTTTATCATTTGTTATTCCAGGTATTCATTAAATATCTTGTTTTTGATTTCCACAAATCATTATGTTTATGTTTCCTTTCTTACTTTATAAACAAACACAGTTTTTGTATTTCTACATCAATTTTACATACATGGGTCTAAAATGACCCGTATTCATTTCCTATGTTATTTCAGTCATGGCTGAGTGTTTCTTTGCTGAATCTTTAAAATATATGCATTTTATCATTTGTTATTCCAGATATTCATTAAATATTGATATTTATGTTTTCTTTCTTACTTTATATACAAACAGAGTTTTTGTATTTCTACATACATTTTACATACATGGGTCAAAAATGACCCATATAGAAACCTTTGATATTTGCACATATTTGCAAGTAGGAACATATGTACTGCATAAATACTATTATTATGGTATTATTACATAATACTATTCACCTGCCACACATTTCACAACTCAACACTGCTGCTTTTGTATATTTGATGCAAGTCTTATTTTATTTTAACCACAGAAAATATTTGATATTTTGTAAAAGATAACTGGACATAATATTTGAATATTAGGCTATGGTTACTTGACCATGAAATCCTAGTGAGAAATTACTTGTGAGAAAGAGAAACATATCCAATACTATTAGCTAGCTAGCTGTCGACATATTCTATTCTAGCTAGCTAATGTTAGCTACACTAAAAAAAGATGGGTTTTTAAAGGGGAACTCAGCAACTCTAGCTATTTCTTCGCTGATTTTCACTTTTGTTGTCGCATGTTTTCTCAACGAGCTCCCCCTACAGCTGTGGGACGTATATTTCACAACAATGTTGTAAAAAAACTCACTTGCGGCCCCTCCTCCCCCTTTCTACCGCTGCTCATGTGCATTTGTTATTATCGGAGCCGGCCAACTTTATCGTGTGGAGCTATACCGAGGTGGGTAATACATCATACACATTGAGGGCGGCGTGTGTGTTTATGTCGAATTGCCATAAAGCATTTTGTGTTTCTCGCTCGTTCTCGCTTCTCACAAGACTTCCTGTTTCCAACTTACTGGGACGTTAGTCCCCATGTTGCAAGGTTGGTTTTCCGCCTAGGAATGTTGGGGGGAGCAGGGAAAGTCACCATTTTCACCAGAACAATTATTAAACCATCCAAATGATTTCTAAACGGTTTCATTAAGTTGAAATAGTTGCCAAATGCCCCTTTAAAGCTTATTTACATGTAATAGGCCTAAAAGTTCTATTAAGAACCGTATAGTCTTGAATAAGCCATTATGCTGAAATGGTTCAATGTGTTAAGAGTTTAGGGTCCTTTTTTCCCCGCCTTTTGATTTTAAAATCTGTAACTGTCAAAGCCACCTGAAATAACATAGGAAATGAATACAGTCATTTTAGACCCGTGTATGTAAAATTGATGTAGAAATACAAAAACTGTGTTTGTTTATAAAGTAAGAAAGAAAACATAAACATAATGATTTGTGGAAATCAAAAACAAAGATATTTAATGAATACCTGGAATAACAAATGATAAAATACATATATTTTAAAGATTCAGCAAAGAAACACTCAGCCATGATTGAAATAACATAGGAAATGAATACGGGTCATTTTAGACCCGTGTATGTAAAATTGATGTAGAAAAAAACTGTGTTTGTTTATAAAGTAAGAAAGAAAACATAAACACAATGATTTGTGGAAATCAAAAACAAAGATATTTAATGAATACCTGGAATAACAAATGATAAAATACATATATTTTAAAGATTCAGCAAAGAAACACTCAGCCATGATTGAAATAACATAGGAAATGAATACGGGTCATTTTAGACCCGTGTATGTAAAATTGATGTAGAAATACAAAAACTGTGTTTGTTTATAAAGTAAGAAAGGAAACATAAACATAATGATTTGTGGAAATCAAAAACAAGATATTTAATCAATACCTGGAATAACAAATGATAAAATACATATATTTTAAAGATTCAGCAAAGAAACATTCAGCCATGACTGAAATAACATAAGAAAATGAATAGGGGTCTTTTTAGACCCATGTTGCGCATTAGAAGGGGTATCCATAGCTTGCGCATCAAAGGGTTAATTAAAGTAAGGTAGAGAATTCAGAAACAGAAATGAAGCGATAGATGGAAAGAAACAGAGAGATAGATGCATTTAAACAAGACAGTGTCCTCTTGGCGATGACACTCTTGTGTCACACCAGGATTTGAAAATGTAGTATTAACGATTTCACTGTGAAATCAATGAAGACTAGGTCACTTATGTCATAACATTTTACTGTAAAAAACAAAAACAAGCAGATTTATTATGCTGGAATACCTGTAACCCGTAGCTGACCCTTGCCTGACTGCCTCTTTACATTCCATTCCATCCCTCTTTGCATTTCCCATCCAACAACACGTCCTTGTGAGAACTGCTAATTTTAATAATAATTTCAAAACATATAAACAGGCACGTGCACAGTTACACTCACACACTGCTTGGACTTGTTTTTCAGTTTGCAGCATTTCCCTTAGTTTGTTGTCATGGTTTTAATTGATTTGTCATTTAGTTCAACTTTTTATACATCGGTATTGATTGATTGATTGATTGATTTTATTTGACCACTTAAATATAAAAACAGTGCTCTGTGTCATACATTAAAAATACACAAATAGTCAGGGATGACACAATAAAGCCCAAAGACTTATTTCTTTGGGCTTAGCACTAGCATTTAAGTTCTCTCTGTTTCTTTTTGGTTTGTCATCATTCACTACCCTCCTCCTCATTCATTTCTTAAAGTTAGACATCAACCTTCTTAGTTCTTTATAAACAATAACGAGAAAAAAATTATAAAAGACTGCCTGTTTTCCCATTCATTTTTTGTAAACATTGTATATGGTTGCTATATTTTTCTGCACAACAATAATTGAATCTTTTTTTTTTCTACTAAATAAATTCACATTTATTCCACAATGTCTGATACATAATGATGACGTGAAGTTTCACTCATAGTTACAGCAGGCAGAAAACAAAAGAATAGGAAGTATCATCAGCAAAACTTGAAATGGCTCAGGGATTTACTGCAGAACAATCAAATATTAGCGTTATTGTCACTTGATGGTGGACCTGGTGAAGAAGCTGTCAGCGATCAATATATTGAGTTTTGAAGATGTTGAAAAAATGATAGTTTTGAGAATATGTTTGAGATCGCGAATATGAGACAGATGCTGAATCTGGGAAATGTGCTCCGACGAGGACAGTGATGATGAGATAAAACATCTTCTCAAACTGAACCCTCCCAAGCGCCAAAAGGTAACAATAACAATTCCTCACTAATTGTATTCAAAGACAAAATAAAACTTTTGATTTTATCCCAGTAAAATTTTATTGAAGTGATTATCAATAATTCCAACAACAAATACCATCTGTCAATAAAGTGCAATTCTTATTTATCAAATAACTGAGTTTTAACAAAAATAAACATTTTTCTCTTTTACTAAACATTACATTTTTGCATGACCAACCCTGACGGCATGCAGCAAACATCAACATGAGCTCAAAAATGAACCTGTGTCCATTTAATTAATGGCAACCCCAAAAAAGTGCTGTTTTGATTGTATTCTTAATACAAAATACTATTTACACCTCAAATTTCCATACGAAACCATTATGCTTGTCGTCAAGATCATTATCAGGATCATCATTTTTCTTTATCCCATCCTGATCATCATTTCATCATTTGAGGTTTCACTCACTGAACATTGTGTTTGACTTTCCCTAAAAACCTGTTTCTACATGCTCAATCCTTCTGTCTCATCCTGCATTTAATAAAGTCCATAAAGTCTTCAACTCATATTTGTCTTCCTGCTTTTCAGCCCCTCTGGGCCTCCTGGGACATGGATCGGCCCAGGGCTCTGGGTGCTTTGGCAAACTCCATTCGCATGGGTTTGACGGGCGGCAGGTCCCTGGTGATCTGTTCCACTGGTCTCTTGTCTGGACAGGCTCCGTCGGGAACCCGGGCAGGAGGGAGATCTTCCAGGGTGTGTGGGGCTCCCCGGCTCAGGCGGACGCCCAGTTCTGCAGGCTTGAAGATGGGCAAGGGCAGAGTGTTCCTGTAGGGTAAGAGCTGGTGCTCCCTCACACCTGTCTCCACAGTGCCCACTCTGAGCACACCCGATGGACAGGCTTGATTGAGAGGACGGACCTGCCAATAACGGGACAGAGTCTCTCGGCGAGAGTCGTCCGACATCAGCATTGACTGGCTGTAGAGAGAGAAAAATTTAGAATTATGAATGAAAGGGGAGATTTGATATTTAATGTGTGTTCATAATTATTTCATGAAAGCTGCACTAAAAATAATAGTTTTGTTAATGTGTATTTTAATTAAAAATATATAAAGAGGCATAAGATATTAAGGCTTGTTTTTAGAGAATGTTTCTTGATTTGAGTTTATTTATTTTTCTACATCTTATTACAAATATAATCATAGTAAATGTAACCTTTTTTTTTACATGTATGCTTTTAACAGCAAACACATATTTGCTAAGTCTTAATATTTTATTTTTAGTCTTAATTTTGCTGCTCAAGTAAACTAACTATCATTATTATAGGTTGTTTTTTTTAAAAGGGAAACAACACTGATAAAATTGATTCTGGGGTGAAGTAAATACTTCAGAAAAAAACAAATGTAATTTCTGCCTGAATAAGTTAGTTCAGTCATGATCCAAAAAAACGAAGAAAATTATATATTAGTACTCAATTTAAGCTTGAAGAAATTAAAGTGTAAATCGGGCATGAATAATTAAAAAGGTTGCATTTTCCCCCCACTGTTTTCCAGCTGTATTTACAACGTTTTATTATTGCTTTTGTTGTTAGGTTTAGTAACTTGCTGTTTTGTGACATCTGGAGTTCATTTTCTACTCAAAATGAAACCTTCATACTCAAAAATGATCCAACGAATGTTACCATTATTATGTATTTAGCACCAATTATTGAGGTCTCATTACTTCTGTTATGTAGATGTGTTGCCTACACAATATTTTCTGTATTATTGTCTTAGATGTTCTAGGTAAAGCATACACTTTAAAAAGCATGGCTTAATTCAGTGTTATATTATTTGAGTAAAATGTACTTGAAACAGAGCATTGCAAAGTAAACTTCAAAGTAGAAATTACTCAAACTTTAACTGGCCAATTTAAGTAAATTTTACTTAATTCCATATGTGAAATGTACTTAAAAAAATCTGCATGCAAAAACTTGCAAAAGAAAAATTAAGTCAAATTTACTTAGTCTTTTTTCAGTGAAAATAAAATAGGCTACTAATTAAGAAAATACATATTTTTTATGATTTGATAGAAGTCCTTGACTTTCACTCTCAGAAAAAAAGAAACAAATGCTGTCACTGTTGCGGAACCGTTTCAAAACATGGCTTATTTACCACGAAAAGTGTGCATATTAGTTACCAAATGGTACATATTACCTTTTTTGAAAGGGTCCCACCCCGTGACACCTTATACCTTTTTTTCTGAGATTGTTCAAGAAAACAAACAATCAAACTGCCATCTTGCTGCAGATATGAATATCTACTCACCGATCCTCGGGTTGTGTCTTCATATTGATGCTGCGCCAGTCAGCAGTGTAACTCTCTCTCTTATTGGGATTTTCCTCCTTCACATTGCAACTGAGCTCGGCTCCAACCACACAGCCTCCTTTCTTCTCCAGGACTGTGCACAGCATCTTCAGCTTCTGTTTATAAGTGGCTTGAAAACTTAAACTATAGTCAATGATCTGTTTTGCTGTGAGATTAGTCAATACTGCTTTGAAGATTTAGTTTTCTTTTCTTTTTTTCCCCTCTTTTCTTGTCCTGGTTGAGTTTGAGGGAGGACTATCTGTCTATCGTCTATCTGTCTCTTGAGCTGCCTCGTCGTCTGTCTGCTGGAGCGTGTGTCAGACTTTTATTCAGCTCTGCTGCTATTTCTGTCCGATGGAGTCACTCTGCACTTTGTCCACAAGGACATCTGACACACACCCACCCACATTTCAAAACATTCACACACACACACACACACACACACACACACACACACACACACAAACAGGCACACACATCTTTGTGGGGACTCTCCATAGGCGTAATGGTTTTTATACTTTACAAACTGTATATTCTGTCCCCTTACACTGCCCCTATCCCTAAACCTACCCATCACACACAACTTTCTGCATTTTTACATTTTCAAAAAACATTACTTAGTATGATATATACGCTGTTTTCCTCATGGAGACCGCTGGCTGGTCCCCACAATGGTGATTTCAGGTTTTGTAATATAATGTAATATAAACATGAACACACACACACACACACACACACACACACACAGTACAGCACTGGAACATGGATATGAAGACTTATGAAATTCCCAGCGACTCACATTTCCATGACACATATCTCTATCTATCTATCTATCTATCTATCTAATCTATCTATCTATCTATCTATCTATCTATCTATCTATCTATCTATCTATCTATCTATCTATCTATCTATCTATCTATCTATCTATCTATCTATCTATCTATCTATCTATCTAGAAAGTATAATCAAATTAGTTTTATCTAATATAAAAATGTCCAGTTATTATCTGAATGGATTCTGTTGCGGATGCTCAAATGCTTGATCATGTTGTATCAGCATGACAGTTGTTCCTCCATGATCCTATTAACAGACATGGAAAGTCTCTCAATGGAAACTAAACAGTGTTCGGATCTGGAGCCAGACAGGAGATTAACATGTTGCAGCAACTGTTCTTTACTGGAAATCTTCTTTTGCACACATAATCTCTTTCAAAATAATTATTTTTAAAATATGAATTATCACAGAAAAAAGACTACTATGCTGCTATATTTATTTATTTTAGGAGATGAAACAGCATATTTAGCTGGAAGGTTTTGGAAAACTACCACTGGTTACAGATCAAGATTTAAAAATATTTCATTCACTTTTTTCCCCAAACAACCAAAATATGGTTAATATGGAAAAGTGTGGTCATAGCATGTGTTCAGTGAGTGCAAGCGCTGTATTCACTCATCATATGAATATAGTGCTCTGTGGATAGAGGTTGGGACAGTTGTATTCTCATGTTACACACATTCTGTCCCCTGTCTGTCATTGACTGCTCTCTCAGAGTGACGCAGTGGGCGATTACAGGAACTGATCTCACTTTTGTGATGCCCCTCTCCAGCAATGTGGCCACTCAGCACACTATGGTATGGAAATGTAATGCCAGTCATGTAAAGTTACACATGAGAACCAGGAAATGTCACATCAGACCAGGAATGAAGCTGCTACTGATGATATAGACACTAAATTTGTTTCCCGTCATGCATGTTCAGACCTAAATATGAATAAATGTCATTGCAATGATCAAAGTCAAATTTATTTTAAAGCACTATCCTTTTTAAAGCATGATTTAAGTGTGTAGGGACACAAGAAATTCAAAATACAAAAGTATTCAAAAGAATTGGGAACTATTTCCATCAGTCAATGTCTTTTATTGTAATCTATATCAGACATTTTACCAGACAAGCAACATACAAGACACGACAAAATACACTGAGCCATTTTATCCTAGTGATTCAGTTAATGGACAGTCACCACATCAAAAGAATTTACACTATTTTGTATCCCAGCTCCATAACAGCACATATACATTATATAATAACACATCTGATACATCACCTATATAACTGATTGTATTGTAGCGTTCCTTTTTAAGATTTTAAAATAAACAAGAAATAAAATAAAAAGTTTGCGGATTTAGAAAACAATATCACTAGAGAAAGGATAAACATTATTCTATGACAACTTTAAATGCGAAATACATACTATTATTATTTTTGACAATTATTTTGGTAATAAATTTATAAAGATATGTTTGTGTACTGGATTATATTACATCTTTGTCATTAAATAAAAATATGCTGGTTTTATATATTCAGGTACATAATTATGAACATTGTTTCAGTTTAAAATAAAAAATTATTTATCTGTAATGCATGACCTGCTGCTCTAGTGCAAAAGTTATTACAGTAACTATGATCCAAAATAAAATTATCAAATGATATAAAAGATGGGCAGATAACACTATGTTAAGGGTGCTACAAAGAAACTTAGCATACACAATGATGAATAATATTTTGTAAGTGTCAGACCATTATAATCAGGGGTGCACATAACTGGTACGCAGGTACGCATGCGCGACATAAATCAGGAATGCGTAATGCCGCTTCTGTTACTACGCACCTTTGCGTAACTGTCGCCAAAATGCAACCTAGGGTCTTTTTGTTAATCTACCCGAGGCAAACTTTCGTTTTAAAGCATAATTAGAATGGAAACGCCACTTTTAAGTTTGACCGTATTTTCGTTTTCGGAGAGCTAGGGGCACGTATATGATAGCAACAAAAATCGCTATTTTTAAAACACTAAGAAGGCTCGACACAACATGAAACTTTGCTCAAAGTATCACCAGGGGACATGAACTCCAGCATTGAGAACATTGTTTGTGTACACAGAGTTTACTAAAAAGAAAGATTTTGAACAACTCACTGTAGCTGTGTCCGCCGGAACAGTAACACCGGCATTTTGTCAGTCAAAAATAGTCGATCTCCGAATGCGAATGAACTGACTCTGAATTTTAGTATTGTTTCTTATGAGGATCCTTTTTCAAATACAAGGTCAATATTGTTTTTCACTTATGACAAAACAACAAATTATCCGTGAATTTTTAATGGAACTAAGCTTTAGGAGCTTTCCATCTTTACTCTCCTCCCTGTTAAGTTGCATTCGGAGATCGACTATTTTTGACTTACAAAATACCGCTGACAGTGAGTTGTTCAAAATCCTCACCATGAAGTCTAATGAACGCGATGGAAACTAAACAATCAAATTACACTTCAAAATAATTATTTCCAAAGATGTTTTCTGTCATTTTAGGTAGTTTTATTCACGCTGATGTAAATTTAAGTGTTCGTTTTTTAAAATAAGTTTGGTCTTTAGTTAGTTATTTGATGCTATAAAACCGGGAATGTGACATCATGATTGACAGCTTCTACACTGAGGAGGACTGCACTTATTAAGACCAGGCTACATATGGGGTGAGTACCAAACACCATCTCCTGGTACTCACCTGAGTAACTCACTGAAAAACTTATGTGCACCCCTGATTATAATGTCATGAACATTCGCCCTAAAGATTTATACTAGTCTATTAATCTATTCTTCCTATAGCTTCACTGTGAGGTATTGGCTGGATTTGTGTTGTTAGTCAGTAGCACTAATTTTTCATGCTCAGGGGCTCTACGTCTTTTTGTTCACATTTTTGAGTAAAGCATAGGCCTACTTTAATTTCATTGCTTTTGAAGCTGAGCACTAGTCTGACCATTTTCCCTCTAAAAAATGTGTTTCAAAGTCTCATGAATTTTAGTGTTGCACCACATATGTTTACATTCGTGATTAAAAGACATCAATGACATCAAAAGTAATCATGTCTAGATCACTGTCATAAAAATGTAAACCTGCACCATGTTGACAATGACATGCACAGCGGCCCTAAACATACGGACTTTTGTGTGCATGAAAATGCATGCACTGACCCCACTGTGATATGTAGTGGTATTTTCACCTCAAGTTTGTACGGGTATCCTAGCAGAGTAAACACATGTGTTCATCAGACGTTCGGCGCATTTCAGCGGGCGAAATCCAGTCATTTCAATAGGAATTCGCATCTGAAATTTTGTGAGAGGGCGAAAGTTTTACCCCTTATCTATTTCGCATAGATTTCGAAGTTGGTCACGCTAATGTGCCTAGTTAGCCTAAAAGAAAGCTGCTTGTTTTGAAAGTGGCTCCTGTGTAAGGTGTGCTTCATACATCGCTACACTGTTGACAATATTATATTCACTGGACCTTTTTTGCCCGCAAAATGTGACTGCACCTTACAGTAGCCTATATTTACAAATTTAATAAAAAAAATTATTGAAATAATAAATTGATTGAAAATTGTGTTTTTGCAGTATTTCTTTGAAATAATTGACACTTGGTTTGGTATTTTGAGCAATGTGACAGCCATATATTTAAGTGTTGCATTAGTGTCCAAACACTGTTTAGGGCAACATGTGCATATGGAAAGAAACAGACCTTAAATAATGTAATCACAGCCGTACAACTTTGCAGTTCAGCAGGTCTCACAGAATTTACTTGCAATAGCCTATATTCACTCTCTATATTACATCATATACTAATCTTTTTTTCTCCTCTTTGTACGTTCCATGTGAACAATGCAGATAATGATTTATTCCTAGACCTGATATTGTAAAAAAAAAAAAAAAAAAAGATCATTTAAGACCACATTGACAAAATGGCAGCAGAGAGCTATCAATAGAGAATGTGTTAGTGACAGGTTAAGGGTTAATGTAATATTCTATTGTATCACCTACACTTTACCAACAAAAAGACACTGTGGTCTTTAGAAACATTTCGTTTGGTCAGATTTTGTCACACGTAAGACCAAAACTTGTTAGCTTCTTTGCCTATTAGGGACAAACTTCTATCAGTTTAGTTTAGATTTGTTTTCACAAATTGGAATTAAGTGTAATAAACCAAAGTGAAGTCCTGTATTCTATAATGGACACTTTGTAGAGTTTGCTCAGGAGGACACTGATGGCCAATCAATTGCCCCCAAACCCATAACCCCAAAGGCAAAATTTCCTGTTAAAAAAAACCCCAAAAACATTTCGAGAGATCTTGTGCCACAGTCCCCAATCTGCAAAATATCATTCAGTGTTTGAAACGCCCAAAACCCACTATAAATTCCACAAGTGGTTATTATAGCACCAAACAAACCCCCGAATTCCTATCAGTCTGCTTTGGTCCCCATATTCTACCCCAAGTGCCCAAAGTTCATGTTTGTCCTTTTCACCCCATATTTTGTTTCCCCAACCCCATCAGCCTAGCTAGTTAAGGCTGTTGTGTACAACCTTATACTTGACCTTAGTAGTCTTGGCTCTGGTATCCACCAGAGCCATCATAATTAGCCTCCATGTCGGGGGTGTATCCAGTGTACTCCGTGCCAGCAGTGGGCGCACCTGCGGGATCCTGGCTGGGATCAGTGTAGTCCTGAGAGAAGAGAGATGAGCTTGCGCCTAATTTGTACTTCTGGAATCCAAGGAAAGCTTGGCCAGCCTTTAGGAAAATGAAGATGCCGGAAGGAGAGGTTTAGAGGGTGGGATGAGAGGGATTAGCAATGGAAATTACATGATTATGGCAGCAGGAATGGAGGATTTTTTTTTTTTTTTTCAGTTTGGATGGTGAATAGTCAATAGTCCATCAGTTAAGGAAGCCATGTAAGGTTTAATTGGAAGGAGGGAATGAGAATGACAGGATGGGACAGAGAGGGAGAGGGGGGAAAAGAGAAAGAAAAGCAACATTAGTTTGATTAAGATACAAGATTAAGATGGTTAGTCAGCTTTAAGCTTAACAGAGTCAAGAATAAATTTAGGAAATGCTCAAGTGAGTGGCTAACACATAGAAAACCCACATCCAAAACAAAATGTAGAACTTGAGTGAAACTTAATAGAGTTTAATCGAACAGCATCTGTCAGTACATTATAAGATCTATCACAAAGGATAAATATACATCATTGATAGCAACAACAGCAGCTCAATTGTAAACAAAAATAAGATCATGAAATGCAATGGCAACAATAGAGGCAAATGAGCGGGACAATGTATCAGGATGCGATATCTTGTAGACAACCTTACATAAAACGTTACAACACAATTCTGTAAAGAGCTCAGCTGAACGTTTCATGTGGAACTGCCGCCCCCTAGTCAATTAAAAGTGTAACCGCAATTTAAAAAACAATCAAAAAATAATTTTCTGGAGAAAACAGATTATCTGGCACATAAATCAAAAGTTTGGGGTCGGTACAATTAATAATTGTTTTTGAAAGAAGTCTCTTATGCTCACCAAGACTGCAACTATTTACTCAAAAACACAGTAAAAATGGTAATATTGTGAAATATTATTGCAATTTTCTATTTTCATTTATTTTAAAATGTAATTAATTCCTGTGATGGTATAGCTGAATTTTCAGCATCATTCTTCGGTGTCACATGATCCTTTAGATATAATTCAAATATGATGATTTGATGCTCATGAAACTTCTTATTATTATCAATGTTGAAAACAGTTGTGCTGCTTAACAGTTTTGTGGAAAACATGATACATTTTTACGTGATAAAAAAGTATTTTTCTAAAAAAATAAATAATAATAATAATCTCACTGACCCCAAACCTGTGAACGGAAGTGTACCTTTAACCCCAAGAGATAATCAGCATATAATGACAAGGTATAATAAAATGAAGAAAAATCATGTTTTTCATAACTTCATAATTCCTTCAGAAATGTTATTTGAAGCTCTTCCCAGTTCATACAAGGGGGTTTAGGGCTTGATATGGCACTTGATGTGGCTCTTGACATGGCAAAAACAAAACAAAAAGACAAACAGATAACATGTAATATCTTCATTGGTATTCATTGGTGACTGTAGGATTTGAAGGGTGATTTTGTAGTTGATGTCTATGGCATAGTAAACAAATAAGTATGTGTGTGGTAAATGTTAGACAAATGGAGGTGGCGTATGAGGGGTGAACAGTTTGTCGTATTCCTCTTCAAAGGAGACTTTCTTTAGGCGCTCCAGGCCCAGCAGTGTAAGAACACCCTAGAGAAAAACAGATCGGCCAGAGCCAGCGATCAACAGAAAGTATGACTGGAAAAACATTTCAACAACACTGGGTTAATCTTATGGATACAGCTGGGTGGTTTCTGTAAGAGAAGTGCTTTGAGAGATTAGAGGTTAGAAGGATATATGCAAACAGTGAAGCAAAGATTACTGGGGTAAATAATTCTCTGGAAAAGTACAGAAAGTAGATTAGTGAATGAAGCTGTGCTGCTGTTCACAGATCATTCATTGAGAAGAAAGACAGGCCTGCAATCTAGCAAATTTTCAGCTGAAAGACAAAATATGCTGAAAAGCTTTCCTGAAAACATGAACAGAACTTAGCCTAGATAACACAAATAAATCATTTTTAATGTAAATGTTGTCTCTGGATATTTACCGGTAGATGGAAAGAGATCGCATTTTCAGTTGATGTGAATGTATTTGAGAAATATTTTTTTTACCTTTATTGGAAGTTATTGAAGGAAGTTAGTGTAATCACTTTAAAACAAATATAAATATGTTTTTAAATATCTAATATAATATATGAAATGTGTAAAATTAGCATTTTGGTCAAGTGAGTCCTGAAAGTTTTTGGTTTTGGTGTGTCACCGTGTTGTTATTGTTAACTAAAATGATTACAAAATAATTTTCAGTGATTGAAATAAAGTTTTAAATTATTAGATGAAATTTTATTTTTAGATGAAAGAAACGACCGAAACTAAAAAGGAAATATTCTCAGTACAGACCCATGTAAATATGGAGAAGAAGGCGAAGGTGATGGCTGCTCTGGCTGCGTCTCCGCCCTCTTTGAGGGGGTTGTCCTCTGGTTTAGCCACCTGCCACTGATTGGCCAGGAAACAGAATCCCACAAACCACACGAAAGACCAGAAGGCTGAGAGAAAAAAGGGAAAAAGGTTCAGAATTTCAGATTAATAAACGGCACAAAAAATGCCTTTGATTGAAAAACAAAAACAAAACAAAAAATCCTCACAAATAAATATAAAATGATCTACAAACAAACCTAAAACAGAGTGATAGCTTATAGTATTCACAATCTAAAGAAGGTCTGATCAAAGCAGTCAATTTATATTTACAGGCATAGATGGTGCCATTGCACCACAAATCCAGCATTGCACTGCAGCAAGTTTAGAAGCAGTTACATTTTACCAACAGAAGGCAGTGTCTTAAAGTAATGCTGCGGTACAGGAAGTTCGGATCACTGCTGCATCCGAAAGCTAGAGGTAGAAGGCAACAAGATACCTTCATCTGATTGATTTTTGAAGGCAGCATAGATGTATCCTTCGCTGCCTATGATATCCCACAATCTTGTGCTTTTGATTCTGTGACAGTTGAGCTAAAAAATAAAGATGGCATCTGACAAGGCAGCAACGCAACAAGTCAGCATCCTAAGTTTTAGGGACGCAGCCCTAGACTCTAAGTGTGCTTTTGAGCCAAGAAGACCTTAGAAACAAATGTATATGGGAAACATTATTAAAACCTTCTTAGAGCCACATAAAAAAACTTATAAGTGTTCAAATGAATACAATATAATGTGTGGTTTGTAAAAAAAGAAAAAGTGAGGCAGATTCAGCAGCAGCCTTGCAGTAAATGTATCTTATTAGTGATATAAAATATTGATATGCATGAATACTTCCATTCATATCAGCAGTTTACCTGAAACTCCAATATCAGCTAACACAGCCTTCTTGCGGTCTTTGACGCTGCTTATCTGAGGAAAGTAGATGTCCAGTGCCATAAATGCAGCACAGCAGAGGAAGGCCAGGGATCCCATCCCAACGGCATAGTTACAGGCGTTCTGGTTGCGGTTAAAGATGCAAAATTCCTCTACCTCATTTGGACGGTTCACATAGCCCTCGTTAGCAATGCATCCAAAGATCACGATGGAAAAGATCTGAGGAGGAGAATTAAAAGAAGGAGACCATGAAGGGAAAATGTGGAAAGAAAAAAAGAGAATTTGGACTTCACACTTTCATTTATAATCCTGGGTTATTTTGCGGCATATTCACATTGTTCATACAGCCAAGTTTAAAGTGCAAGCTAGATTTGTTAGTGACTTTGTTAGTGAAGTCAGCATGAAACAGAAGTTTGGATAGTCTTTTCTTCCCTATTGTGATGTATATGCTTCTCGAACAGGAAAAAAATGTTGAGTGAGACTTGATCAGGAATTGATTGGATTGTTGTGGTTTGCTATTGCTGTGATGTCATGTGAGTGAGAGGTTGTCCCGCCCTGACGCCGGTAAACACGTCATCAGGGAAAAGATGTCGCTGCACCATGAAGGGGAAATTATTTTGATGAAAGAATATGAGGGCACATGGATTTTAAATCAATAACGATGTGCATAGATCAGTCATTTATAATAAATACTGCAATATTCCATAAAAAAATAATTATTGTCAATTTTGCCCAAGGAGAATACCCACAAACAGAACTTTATAATTTGCTTTGTTTTCTGAGTTATGTTATGCTAAAAGAATCAGTGATTTAATAATTATAATAAAAAACTTTGGGGCAGATTTTATATACTATTATATACTGCAAAGGCATTTTTACCCGACTCTGTAGCCGGGGCTCATAACTTAGGTCTTAGTCCAGCGTTAAAAAGAAACATTAACCCAGAGATAAACACAGTGTCAAAAGACCTAGAGCCAATTAAAGTTGTTGAAATGTTATAGTGCTGATTTCAGCTTTTCTAGTATACAAACAAAGGAAATTAAACTGTTTCTCGCAGCCAACCACAACTTCTGGCTGAAAACATTGTGAAAACAGATGCCATCTATCACCACAAACATCACTGATTGATTCATGTGTACATCTGTTTTTAATCTCACTTTGTTGCTTTCTACTGGTTTTGTTTTCTACAGGGAAGCTATTTGACACTTCCATAATTATAAGTGCCTATTTAGATTCCGATGAGCCTATGTTCTCATTTTGGCTCCAGGAATAGTCAACTATCTTCAAGAGGATGAAGGCAAGTTTTGACAAAGGCCAGGGTTTTAACAGCTGGCCTGTGCATCTGTTACTATATGTCTGAATGTGTGAGAGTGCGAGAGAGGCACTTCATTTCTCCACTCATGCAATTAAGTTGAAATGCTCTTGGCTGCCAGCAAACTCTCCCATAGTTGTTCCCTAATTGTCAGCTACAAGCCCATGATTTAACCCCGAGAATCAGCTTTATCATTAAACTAATGTTAAGGGGGTTGGCAACATCAAATCAAATAAACGCTGAATCTCCTAAGATAAAGATTCAATGGCTCATTCAAACCTTGAGGAGGAAGCGAAAGAGGAGAATATGGACGTGGTCATGGCTAGGGAAAAGAGGCCAACATGGCATACTAATTTTGCAAATGGAACTTGAGGTAAGTAGTTTTAAGTTTTAGCGCAATGTTGTGTTGATCAATTCGCATTTCATGTTGCATTTTTATTGGCTAGTCAGTAGACGTAGGTCGAAGTATGATCATGCAAAATTTCTGAAACTGTCAGAAAATTATCACAGGCTATCTTTGGTCGCAAGACCGTGACAACTGCCGTCTTTGACCCTCTTTCACTTTATGATGTAGAACCACCGTTTAGGAGCCAAGACCACAGTCATCTTTCGTCTTCGACAGCCCAAAATCGTACAATGTGTACCGGGCATAATGGCAGATTCAGACTGCACAATATCAGCCCGATTTTGGCATGATCCGCTTGACATTGTGTGTTGTGGTGATTCATAAACGACAATGGTCGTCGGGAGGCAAGAAACGATCGTTTTATCACGTATAGTGTGTCATAGTGGACGACAACCAACGATAGCAGAGGCGCTAAAGCAACCTGGTGAGTACTGGAATTAGAAAGTGAGCGTCTTTAGAACACATAGAAAACATTTCTGGAGTTGTGAAATTAGGTTTGCAGTCTGTATTGTATACGTACAGTCTGTACTGTACACAGTACATCACAAGAAAATACATTGGCATAATGCCCGCCTATGTTGTACGTTGTCCAGCATTGTCCAGCCCTCAAATCTCTCAAAACGCGGGATTCGCAAAACACTTGCTCTTGAAAGATGGGTCAAGTACCCAGTTTTAGAGGTGGGCAGATCGATACTAATATCGATAATATCGATACCAACGTTGGTATCGGTATTGATCGATACCAACGTGAAAATATCGATACTTAAGTTTCAGTTTCTCTCGTTTTGCGACCTGACCGTGTTTGTCAAAATGCTGCTGCTGTCACAGCAGAGCAGAGCAAGCTCTCTCCTCTCCTGTGTTGTACCGTCACGTGACTCACCACTAGCGCGCTACTCAGGACTAACCCCACCCCTACCGCTACCACCAGCAGTCAGTCAGGCGCGCGCTCAGCCGTTCAGCTCATCTTTCAAATCCTGAAAAAGAGTGCGCTAAAGAGGAGAAATGTTATTTTATTCTCATTATATCTTACAAAGAGAATTTGTTTTACAATTTGTATAATATTTGTTGTGAAGTAAAACTTTGTGACTTTGTTTATTTAAGAAAAAAATCCTGAAAAGAAGTGCACTAAAGAGGAGAAACATCATTTTATTCTCATTATATCTTACAAAGAGAATTTGTTTAACATTTTTTATAATATTTGTTGTGAAGTAAAACTTTGTGACTTTGTTTATTTAAGAAAAAAATCATGAAAAGAAGTGCACTAAAGAGTAAATTCTTTAAAACCAAATCTAGCGGTATCGCACACCTCTACTGAAACGTCATTTTATTCTCATTATATCTTACAAAGAGAATTTGTTTTACATTTTTTATAATATTTGTTGTGAAGTAAAACTTTGTGACTTTGTTTATTTAAGAAAAAAAATCCTGAAAAGAAGTGCACTAAAGAGGAGAAACATTTTTTGTTAACATGCTACTTGAAAAGAGAATTTGTTTTTACATTTTTTATATTTGTGAAGTAATAATTTTGTAATTTTGTTTATTTAAATAAAACAGAAGTAACCAAAAGTTGTTTCTGAACAAAAGCTTTTGTAGTACTGATTTTAACTGATTAATAACCCAAAATGCAAATCACAAAAACAAATTAAAAGTCATGAAAATTCATTTAGATTTAGGTTGAAGACGCATCCACCTTAATTATTAAAAAGTATCGGTATCGGTATCGGCGATACTGGCCCTGTATTTACTTGGTATCGGATCGATACCAAATCTAGCGGTATCGCACACCTCTACCCAGTTTATTTGGACCAGCTTACTCCTCAGAATCACAACCTGTAAGTATAAATAAATATTGATGCATATATTTTCTACCAGATGTTCAAAATACTTTAAATACGTTTGTGTTTATATTGTGTATAAACGAGCAGGACGAGGCCGGTGGCGTGAGTGCTAATGGATCATACAGCTGTGAGACGCACCGGTCTCGCGTATATTGCTTACCGGCTAACTCACGTTATCACTGTCTTACTGAAATACTTCTACTAAGCAGCTGTGGGCCACTATTACTTAAACTGTGTCTATTAATGCAGATTGCTTGTCATTCTTACTACTATGAGTAAAGATAAAGGATGGAGCAAGAGTTGGTTTAAAATGTTTTGTTACATCCGTCATTCATGTTAGTGCTGGGCGAACATATGCACCGTTATTGATACAGTTCCCGCATGTGGACCACAATAAATTATAAATATACACATCGGTTTGTTGATGGACATACACTTGTTAATGCTGATGGTGAGGAATTACAGTTGGAACATCTCATAATGTACCTCAAACTAAGTAGCGTATCACTGAGATTCTGAGAAACGTCCTGCTCAAGTCCTTGCGATGGAGGTTCGGGTTGAATAACTAGTTCTTCCAATGTTTCATCATCGGACTCGCGCTCAGATTGATATGGTAAAATCGACGTCATCGTTAATGTCTTTACAGTGTGTACATGTGCTGAGCTTTAGGAAGCCTCCGGACAGACCTTAAGTTCAGTTATGGTAATGAGTGTTTAGCTTCCGAAACACACGCTGTACGCGGTAGACCAACCACAACAGACTGGGCCATCTGGCCAATCAGAGCAGAGCAGGCTCGGGGAAAGGAGGGATTTAGAGAGACTGATTCATCCGTCGAGTCGTTTGAGAATCGTTGAAAAATGTGGTGATGTTCAATGTATATTATGAGAAAATTAAACTGTTTTTTTTTACTTTTGATGCATGTAAACCTGTTGTAGGAGGCCTCCAAAACAAAATTAGGAGCCTTTAAAATAGCATAATAGGGTCACTTTAAGCTAGTACAACCATTGTTTGTTTAGCCTACGCTCTTGTTTGTTTGTTGCTGGTTCCGGCTTCTTGATGACATTACACACACCGTTAAAGACGGCAAGCGATGATTGGTAAGCATGTTAGTCTGACATGTTACTTATGCACGACACAGCAAGAATTTAGAAGTCAAAATCACATAATCTGACACAGTGACTATTGTAACAGACAAAAATATTGTGAAGTCTGTACCCGGCATAACAGTCCTGCATCGCATTTTATAAAGTGAGCGTCTTTAGAACACATAGAAAACATTTCTGGAGTTGTGAAAGTAGGTTTGCATTCTGTATTGACTGTGATGCAATAAAAAGACAATGTATCCCAAAATTAATGCCAAGAAACGTCTATCGAGTTGTCCAAGTGGAACGAATGGAAAAAACATACACTCGATGTAGTCTGATTCATGAACTAATTACATTATGAGCTGGTGCCCTTTTTAGTGAATCACAACCATACAGCACGACCATGTTCGTGACAAGATCGTGAACATGGATGTGATTGTAAGATTAGCCGCAGTATTGCCACGGTTATATATGCGCCACAAGATATCATCATGACAAAGCAGTATCACTGCTGACTGATTGTCCATATGACAGCATGTTGGTGTTCTTGTAGGCAAGATTTTTTTTAAATAATACAT